CGGGCTCCGCCGCAGGGCTCGGGGTGGCCGCGCGGGGACCGCCCGGCACCTCCAGCCCCGCCGAGCGGTGTCTGTGAGGGCGGGTTTACCTGGTGTTGGTTTGATGGAGGCGAGTCGGCTGAGGCGAAGGGAGGGAAGGAGAGGCGCGTCGGCCCGGCGCCCTCTGCGCCTGAGGCACGAGAGGCAGGAGGCGCCGCGGGGAGCAGCGCGCGGGGCCGCTCCTGAGGGAAGCGCCGGGAGGCGTCGCGCTGCGCGGGCAGCGAGTGCCCGAAGCAAGCCGAGCCAGACCGGACCGAACCGAACCGAGGCACGCAGGGCGCTTGCTAACGCCCGGGGTGCGCAGGGGGCTCGCAGGGAGCCGGCTCGGCCGGGGCCCCGCGCGTGGCGTGAGCTCTGCCACGCGGCCTCTGCTTCCAAGTGGCGCCAAGGAGGCTCCTTCACACGCGGTTTCCTAGAGGGTGAATGACCCTTCTGGCGCGGCCGTGGAGGCACCGCCATCCTTTTACCCGCGTTTCTATAACCCTCCCCATCGCTATCGCTCGAAGCCAAAGTATGAGCAGAGCTGTCTAGGAGCGGTACCTACTTTCAGGGGGGCAAATGTAGTTATTTTGAAGCCCAAAACTTTTTTGCCAAATCGACGAGACCCTGCTTTGCTCAGGTGCTGGTTCTGCCGTCCCAGGGTTTTACATTGGCTGTTTTCAGAATTTAACATGTGGTTTCAGCCTTAAAGTCACAGAATCATTATGGCTAGAAAAGACCTTTAAGATCATCGAGTCCAAGCATAAACCCTTCAACACGATGCCTTCTGCGTGTTTATCTGCTTGTGCGTCCTGGCCTGCGCGGTATGCAGTAATTTCTGTCTCATCCTTCACTCACTGTGGATGTTGACCTCTTCTGGTTATTGCTCAGCAGTGTGAGCCGCACTGATGCCTGCTCTGATTTATGTTTGTCCTTATTCGAGAAAGCCCCGTGATAACAAGGTGCCTGAAAAGAACTGGCATTGCAGCTGCCCAGGATAGGGAGGGCAGTGGAAGAACAGCTCCTTCCTACCTGTAGGCAACCCAGAAGTGCATCTCTTTCTTCCCTTCCCTTTGAATTAACAAATTATACCCCCTCTAAGCATCATTTCAGTTCCCAGTGCTCTACAGAAAGCAGATAAGAACCAAACCATTTGCCTCCCTACAACTACCAAGGGAAAAAGAGAGTCCTCTGTCACAATCACCGGTTGTGCAAGTTGTGGCACAACATAACAAGCTGGACTTTGCTAGATCCAAGCAGGAGCTTGCTGAGAGACTGGTTATTTTCTCGACTTTGCACTGAGAGCTGCGTTACTTTATTTAGTTTGGTTTGTTTATTAACTTATGTGTTCATTCAGCTCTAGGTCAGATTACTGGAGGCAGGCTCCAACTCTCATTCAAAAATAATTGCTCTTAGTGTGGAGAGGCACCTTCTTATTCTGCTATTGCAGGCTTCTCTATTGGAGGCAGGATTGCTTGGGCATCTCCAGAAAGCTGGAAATCCAAGATATGGGCTGCATCACTCTCCCTGAAGGATGCCTGAGATAGGACCCTCTAAAAGTAACCAAGACTTAACACTTTTTTTTTTTTTCCCCCTGGAGTACAGTGTAGTTCTATGTTGTTTTGTTATAGTTTTCTTCTGCGCAGGACAGCTTTTGTTTGTTTGTGTGTTTGAATAAACAGTTTAATGCACAGATATTTAAACATCAACAAGATCAGTAATACATATGGCATGTTTTAAACATAAGTCTGAAGCACAACATATGAAATTGCAGATAAGCTTATATATTTTCCTGGAGCACCTGTAGAGTTCAGCCATCTCTCCTGTTTTTGTACCTACAGCTCCCACAGACCCTTCTCCAGGAGTGTCATGTGGGTAGCAAGTTCTTCTTCTAATCAGATCAATCTTTGGGCCTAACATGATCCCAACAAGGCCGCCCAGCTCTTGCAGTGCCAGCAGGCTTTGAAGAATCATCGAATCGTTGAGGTTGAATCACCTCCCTCCACCTGCTGTCTTCCTAATGCACCCAGGAGACCATTGGCCTTCATGGCCACAAGGGCACGCTGCTGGCCCATGGTCAACCTGGTATCCACCGGCACTCCCAGGTCCTTCTCCACAGAGCTCCTCTCCATCATGTCAGCCCCTGGCCTGTCCTAGTGCATGAGATTATTCCTGCCTAGATGCAGGACCCTCCATTTCTTGAACTCCTTTCTTGAACTTCATGAGGTTCCTCTCCTCGCAGCTCTCCAGGTTCTTGAGGTCCCTCTGAAGGGCAGCACAGACCTCTGGTATATCAGGCAGCTATCCCCCCATTCAAAGCATAATAACAGGAATAACAGGATTGCTTGATTTGTCTACTGGACAGCTGCATTCAAAGCAGTAGGAAGCTCCCAGTGCTCTGATACTTCCTCCTGCTAGGAATCCTGGGAACAGGAATATGGTGGCATTGAGAACGGGAGATTGGGACAAGCACGAAAAATTCCCATCCCAAAAAAACAACTCCATACTATAAGCTAGATCTGCTGTGGGACCTTTTCACTTTAATCTGCTCTTCTGTGGCAATAGCTTTGTCCTGTCACCAGCTGGATTTTCATCTGTGTGACACAGCAGAGGAAGATATTTTGGCTTGTTGGATTTGTTCTTCCCTAGGTAGTTGTGTCTTTAGCTGTAGTGAATATTCTTCTGCAGTATTAAGTTGTTTCAGCTTTCCCTCTGCTTAATCTCACGGTGAGTCTTTGTTTTTCAAAATCTGTTAGTTTAAACTGGGTCAAATGCTAACACGCGTGTCAATCCCCCTTGCCCTTAGGATCTGCCATAAAAGATCAGACTACAGGTCTGTCAAACTCTTTGTCCTACTTCTGCGAGGAGCCAAGGCCCAGTGCTTTAGAGAGGTGGAAAAAATCCTGTTATTTAAAGGTTACATCGCTTCTCCTTGCTGTGACGCTGCTGCTTCACATTTGATTTTCTTCAGAAGCCGTCCATGAATTGGAAATCGTGCTGCTGGTGGTGGACTGCTCAAGTCCTGCTACACTTGCCTGTAGAAGGACCTCTACCAACTGCTGAGCCGCATTGATTTTCCATCGAAAGCCTCTCCTATTTTGCTCTGAAATCTAGTCATGAGTCTAGTCTAGTCTAATCTGAAATGTAGTCGTGAGATGCCGTAGGGTGAAAGAGGCAAAACAAATAAGACGCAAAGTGATCATGCATAATACTCAGGATCACCATTTTCTACTTGGGCTACTTGCAGCTGAGCAGCTCAAAGTGCTTCAGAAGCAGCTACGTGTGAATAGTTAGCTGCAAGCAACAGGCAGCTTGTAAGGACACTCTTCAAGACCGCAACTCTTTAAGTCATTCTGTGCAGAGAAAAGCATGAGGCAGGAGGGGAAAAGAAACGCCACCAGTGCAAGAGTTTCTAGCAAGGTTCATGTAGAAAGCCCTTTTTATTCTCTGAGCAATGGCTTATGCAAGAAAGCTACTTAAAGCATTGGAAAGGTATTGGCTGCCTTAGGGTTTAAAACCAAACAAACCAGATCACTAGCCATAAGACATAAAGCAAAGAACATTTCCTCCAGCACAATACGTCGTTACTGAGAAAGCAGATACTGCAGGCACATATTTTAATATTAAATCAAATTATAATACCATTAAAGCAAGTAGCTCATCTTCTATCCTGGCCTCCTATCTATAAAGATTAAGCTTGAATAAAAGCACATGGCTTTCCTCTGTCACATTGCGCAATAATTATTCATACAGCTGCATTAGAGATAACAAAGTGAGACAACTCTCCTGCATCTCTGCCATAGGATCTCTGAAGCTTCTGTGATTTAAAATTTACGTATAAAATGTCTAATTCCCTACTATAGCTCATTGCATTTTAATAGTTTCACGTACATCTGTCATAGCGGTGCAATTACACTGCAAACACGTACGGACACACTCCGCTCTGCTCTGCTCCAGACAGGGTCGCTGGGCAGCGGTTGCGCGAGGCAGCTGCACTGATCTAGCAGCACCTTCTTTGCTGCTGCCTCTCACTACCAGCCCTGCTTTCCTTCTGCTGCCTTCGCAGAAAAGCTGCAGCCCGGACGAGCATGGAGACACTGCTGCTCTTCTCAGCTCTGCATGAGCCGGAGCAGCAAAGAGCCCACGTGGGCTTCCCCTGGCCATCAGAGCCCTTTGGGTTTCCCCAGAGCCACCAGAGCCCACGTGGGCTACCTCTGGTCACTAGAGCCCTCTTAGGCTTCTCCATGGCCACCAGAGCCCTCCTGGGCTTCCCCACAGCCACCAGGCTCTGGGCGAAGAGCTGCACGATCCTACAGCACGGGGAAGGATGGAGATGGGTCGCGCATTTTCCTTCACTCAGCCCCTGTCTCGATGGCTGTCCTGCAGCCTTTCCTCTGCGTACATTGAGAGGTGCAGAGCAGCAAAAATCCCCATCTGCTGCCCGCCATTTCACTCCACCTCTGTCCTTGATTGTGTAGGAGCTCCTAAGACACATCTTCTGCTCCCAGCAAGCATTCAGATGGGCTTTCCCCTCCCCAGGGTCAGGAATAGGGTCACGAGCAGCCCTTCCCCTTCCCGTGATTCACCGCCGGGACGTGGAGGGCAGAGGCCGCACTCTGCTCGGAGCAAGGTGCTCGTTTTCCCCTGCCGCTGGAGGTGCCCAGCCTGTCCCAGCTGCTGCCGAGAAAGAGCCCCACCAGCCAAGCTCCCTGGTAGGTAAATCCCGAGCCTGACACGGACCAGCAGAGGCGCCGTGCTCCGAGCATCAAGCCAAGCCTCCCACACAGAGGTTTGCACCTGCCTCTGACAGCAGCACCTGCGTGACCGTGGCCAAGTCTCCGAAGCGGCAGCCTCCTGGACGCCAGCGACGGGAGGCCAGCGCCTCCCCGTCCTCCAACGGCTGCACGGAGCAGCGAGCGAGTGCTGCCTCTCCGCGTGGCCCAACATCTGCCGGCACAAAGCGCTATTGTTCCCGAGGGCGGCGCTGCTGGCGGCGTCACGCCAGGAGGCAGATGCCCCCGTACCCAGCCCCGGCACACGCGTCGCGGCGCGCGGGGACGCCCCTCACGGTGGGGCTGGGGCGGGCCGGGCGCTCGCCTGGGGCAGCAGCCCCCGGCCGGTCCTCATTCTGAGCTCGGCTGCGGATCTGGGGCTAAGGGTGTGCGCTCTGCTCAAGGAGCTTGTTCCCCACCTCTAAGACCATATTCTGCTGGTTTCAAGGCACCAGGATCCCGGTTACCTTAGAGCTTGTTTGCTTGGGAAAGACCTAAGGAGTCTTGCAAAATAGGGCAGCCACAAGAATTTTAGCCCACAAGAAGCCCAAGAAAAGGAGCCTGCCCCTCCTTTAAAAACAAACAAACCCACCAGCGCTTCGTTGGTACATCCTGGGGCAAGGGGAAAGACCTGGGAAAAGGGGACAAGGGGAAAGTCCTCTACAGACCCCAGAAGAGCAGAGTCTCTGTAGCTACTTAGAGTATGTATCTATAGGCTGTTTAGATTATGTATCTGTAGCAACGCTGTCTGCGAGAGCAGCATGTTGAGTCCTTAGCTGCTCGCTGGCACAGGGTGAGCGTTGGGAGAAGGATTCAAGCTGCGTCATGCACCTGAGCGAGAGCACCGTGTTCAAACCTGGCCAAAACCAGGGCTCTCCTCCATCTCTGTCCCCAAAAAGCCAATCCGGTCCCACATCTGCCAGCACCAGTGGGATCACGAAGCCACCTTATGTCTCCGTGCACCCCGGACAAAGCACGCGAGCTCTGTCAAAGTGCCTGTGCCCGCGTAATTAGAGTCTGATTTCAACTCCTCTGATTTCAATTTCCCGGCTTCCCTTTGAAGCCCTGCTCAGTAAGCAGTGCCAGGCACCCCACATCTACATTACAATGCATCCCAGCGCAGTGGAAAGCCCAAGGGCGTGCTACAGAAATCCAAATCCTTCAAATCCATAGCCAATATACAACATGAGATCAAGGACGGACGAAAAGTGTTTCCTGGAATTAGATGCACAATTAATTGTTTCCATCCTTTAGCAAGGACTGCTGCTTCAGTCGTGTGTGTGCATGTATGTGTATATTTATATACAAATGTATATAACAGATATAATAGATGCTCTGTTTCAATTATATTAATTTATTTATCTAAAATCTATTCTTGCAAATCAAGGCATGAAAGGGCCTCATTTCAGTGCCTATTATGGGCACCTTTTTTTTTTTCCAAGCAGAAACCTTTGCATTTATATCCCATTGTTCAGCCACATCTCTCTGCCGCTCATTCTTCACGCCAGATCAACCAAAGATTGCCCCGAAGTACTTGCTGCTCATGATGCTTACTGCCGAGGACAGCTAGATTGTAGGTTTTCTCTATTGGCTTGCTGCG